CTGGAGCCGTCTTTTCGGTGGTAGTTGGGGAAGGCTGTGCAGATTTGCTCTGCTGTGATGCGTTGGTGACGGTACCTAGCCCACGGTTCCCGACAGCAGCATCGCAGGCTCTGGGAAATCCTCTCCTGTGCCTTTAGAGGAAGGAGAGGATTCCTGAGGAACGCAGGGGAGCCTGTTTCTGTCCTCACACCACAGAAAGAAACCTGAGGGAAAACTGAGATGTGAGGTTCCCAACTTAAGCCTGGTTTTCTTCATGGGGGGCGCCATTTCGAATGACAGCCTCACTTCCTCCTGATGGCTACATCTATATCTTTTCCTCCTGTTTTTAATGTTTCACTAGGGAGAGGAAATAAAGCAGAAAGGAACGTGTGAAGCTCTGTGTCTCAGACGGGGCCCTCCCCACGAGAAGCTGGTAGTCAGTGAGTGAGAACAAGAGAACAAGAACATCCTCAACAGTCCTGGTTGGGATGGTGTCCACATTCTTGTTCTGCGGTTCTTGAACCACATGGATGTCTCTGGGCCACCTGTCCTTTCCGGAAGCCGGCCGAGGGTGTGGGGCAGTGGGTGGGAGTGGATCCTCTGGGCGCAGGTGCCCGGCAGGTGCAGGCGGGCAGTGGGCCACTGCTGCTGCTCGTCCCTGCCAGTGTCTGGACCTGAAGGGGCTCCCTCCAAGCGCTGCCTTCCTGCGGCTCAGAAGGGAAAGCGTCAGAGAGAGCAGGCTACACTGTTTCACACCCTCAGCCACGGCTGTGAAAATGGGTGGGTTTTGTTGGGTTTTTTCCTTTTTGAGACAGAGTCTCGCTCTGTCGCCCAGGCTGGAGTGCAGTGGTGCGATCTCGGCTCACTGCAAGCTCCACCTTCTGGGCTCAAGTGACCCTCCCACCTCAGCCTCCTGAGTAGCCGGGATTACAGGCACGCACCATCAGGCCCAGCTAAGTGTTGTATTTTTGTTGGAGACGGGGTTTCACCATTTGGCCCGGCTGGTCTCAAACTCCTAGGGTCAAATGATCCGCCTGCGTCGGCCTCCCAAAGTGCTATGATTACAGGTGTGAGCTGCTGCACTCAGCTGGGAGATGGGTTTTCATGTAATGACTTGACTTTTTGTTAACAGGTTTTGTTTGTGTGTGTGTGTGTTTTGTTTTTTGTTTTTTTTTTTTTTGAGACGGAGTTTTGCTCTTGTCACCCAGGCTGGAATGCAATGGCACCATCTTGGCTCACTGCAACCTCTGCCTCCTGGGTTCAAGTGATTCTCTCGCCTTGGCCTTCCGGGTAGCTGGGACTACAGGTGCCCACCACCACGCCTGGCTAATTTTTGTATTTTTAGTAAAATGGGGTTTCATCATGTGTGGCCAGGCAGGACTCGAACTCCTGACCTGAAGTGATCCACCCGCCTTGGCCTCCCAAAGTGCTGGGATGACAGGCATGAGGCACCACACCTGGCCAACACAGATGCTTAATGATCATGGAGAATACATTGTGGAAAATTTTCTTCTCTCTTTTACCTTATTATGAGACGGAGTCTCCCTCTGTCACCCAGGCTGGAGTGCAGTGGCGCGATCTCGGCTCACTGCAAGCTCCGCCTCCCGCATTCACGCCATTCTCCTGCCTCAGCCTCCTGAGTAGCTGGGACTACAGGTGCCACCACCATGCCCGGCTAATTTTTTTGTATTTTTTAGTAGAGACGGGGTTTCACCGTGTTAGCCAGGATGGTCTCAATCTTCTGATCTCGTGATCCACCCGGCTCAGCCTCCCAAAGTGCTGGGATTACAGGCGTGAGCCACCGCGCCTGGCCCTCTTGTACCATTTTTGTGAAGAGGGATAGGTAAGTGCAGGGAGTTTGTGCTGCAACAGTGCCTGGCAATTTTTCAGAAATGAGTTCGATATTTCACTCCACCTTTGAGCTGTTCACACCCATGGCTACCCCTGGAAGGAGCTGGGGTTGTTGATGCTTTTGGCTGCCTGGCTTCCTGAGGTCTCACTGCTTTCTGGGGAAAGATGACTGGCTTCCACGTGGGAAGCTTCTGTCTAACACGTGATGATGTGGTCCTGCCTGCCACTGTGCACCTTCCCAGGTTTGAATTTTGACCTTTTCTTTTCAAGTTTCTGTGCTTATGTGTTTTTAATGTTTACTTTTGCCACTTACGATAATATCACCAAAATAATATGCAGAGAGTTTTGGAAGAAACAGAAAACATGAGCAGAATGAGACAATTCCTTGGGCTGTAGTTTGGACCCAACTGAATCCTGAGTACTCTGTGGCTGATGCTGTGCTAGCTGTGGGAGAGACACACTCAGGAGTGGCTGTTTGGCCAGAAAAGAAGGTCATGGCCCCTGGCCTGGCCCCAGCCCTGCAGGGACACAGGAACCACACCATTTGCAGCATCCACATCTTGCTCCAGAAGGCCTGGCCGCCTTCTCCCGGGGCGTGATTCAGGGATTTAGTCTTGGACCAGACCCCCCTCCACAGCTGCCCAGCTCCAGACCCATCTCCTGGATTGAGGGTGTCTGGGCTGGACCCAGTGGGTCACTCTGGCAGCTTCATCTGAGCCGAAGGTGTGGGTCCTCTGTGGCTGTGTGATTGACCTCTATGGGAAGGAGCGTTCTGCCCATTTTCCTTGTTTTCAGTGCTGCGGTATCAGACAGTGATCTGAGGAAATCCTGTAGGGGAAGGCAGACTGCTTTGAAAACAGGAGCTGGTGAAACTGAGCCCTCTGCATCTGTGAATGTGCCCCAGGTGCTGCTGCTGGGGACATGGATGCCGAGCGGAGGCCTGCATGGCCTCCTGAGCAGCAGCTGACCACCTGTCTCATGTTGGGCGGGACCCCTGGGTGGGTGGACACAAGACCACTGTTGGCCAGGGACACCGAGCGGAGGCCTACGTGGCCTCCTGAGCAGCAGCTGACCGCCCATCTCATGCTGGGTGGGACCCCTGGGCAGGTGGACATGAGACCACTGTTGGCCAGGGACACTGAGCGGAGGCCTACGTGGCCTCCTGAGCAGCAGCTGACCGCCTGTCTCACTGTTGGCCAGGGCTTTGTGGCGTGGGTGTTTTCCAGTCTGCCTGGAGCAGCGAGCAGCAGCTGTGCAGACCGATGGCGGTGGGAGGGTTTGCCGGGACAGATGGGGACACTAGCCAGCTTGTCTTCTGTCCAGCAGCCCCACTGTACTTGGCCTCCTGTCCTGTCATTGGGAGCCCTGGCTGGGGCTGCTTTGAGCAATGACGCTGGCCCAGAGCAGCTTTCCACATGACCACAGAGCCAAGGGTCTGCCCTGTCCTAGGTTAGGTCTTCATGGTTTAGAATAAAACTGTGAGAGATGTTTATTATGGGCACTGAAGACTTAGGTTTTCCTAAATTTTCAGTGACCAGTGATTGACCTTCAATACCTGTGCGGAGAGGAATTTTAAGCCAGGGGAAGTGTGAGAAAATGTTCCCATTCAGGAGAGACTGTACTGGAGTTTCTTTCTTCCTCTGTATTTTGTGGTGTTCACCTTTAACCACATTTCATCCAAAAAGATGACGCAGCTTTAACATGAATGTTACATTTTTATTTTCAAGGAATTATTATCTGTGTTCCCTTTGTAAAAGAAATATTGTAAATCTTTTTATTAGATAATGTAAAGATGTATATCAGTATTTTTGGATCATGTTATAGATTATGGATATATTGTTTAATAAATAAAGTATTTTTTGGAACAAACGGTTGAAAGTGCATCTGTATTAGCCCGTTTTCACGCTGCTGATAAAGACATACCCAAGACTGGGTAATTTATAAAGAAAAAGGGTTCTTTAAAAAAAAAATTTCTTTTTCTTTTTTTGAGACAGAGTCTTCTTGCTCTGTCACCCAGGCTGAAGTGCAATGGTACTGTGTGATCTCGGCTCACTGTAACCTCTGCCTCCCGGGTTCAAGTGATTCCCCAGCCTCAGCCTCCTGAGGAGCTAGGAGTACAGGCACATGCCACCACGCCCTGCTAATTTTTGTATTTTTAGTAGAGATGGGGTTTCGCCATGTTGGCCAGGCTGATCTTGAACTCCTGACCTCAGGTGATCCACCTGCCTCAGCCTTCCAAAGTGTTGGGATTACAGGCGTGAGCCTCTGCGCCTGACAGAAAAAGAGGTCTAATGGACCCTCAGTTCCACATGGCTGGGGAGGCCTCACAATCGTGGCAGGAGGCAAAAGGTACATCTTACATGGCGGCAGACAAGAGAGAATGAGAGCCGAGTGAAAGGGGTTTCCCCTTATAAAACCATCAGATCTCGTGGGACTTATTCACTACCATGAGAAAGGTATGGGGGAACCACCCCCGTGATTCAGCATCATTCTGGGAAACGGGTGTAAAACGTCAGTGTTGGCCGGGCGCGGTGGCTCAAGCCTGTAATCCCAGCACTTTGGGAGGCCGAGACGGGTGGATCACGAGGTCAGGAGATTGAGACCATCCTGGCTAACATGGTGAAACCCCGTCTCTACTAAAAAATACAAAAAAGAAAACTAGCTGGGCGAGGTGGCGGGCGTCCATGGTCCCAGCTACCTGGGAGGCTGAAGCAGGAGAATGGCGTAAACCCGGGAGGTGGAGCTTGCAGTAAGCTGAGATCTGGCCACTGCACTCCAGCCTGGGCGACAGAGCGAGACTCCATCTCAAAAAAAAAAAAAAAAAAATGTCAGTGTTGTGTCCAGAGACAAGTGTGTGAAGTTGAATTCTGAAGGGGTATGCAGTGATTGGAGAGTGGTTTGCGGAGCTTGCTGGCTGGGGGTCTGCGGAGGACCCTGTGCCTTACCTTGGGTGGTTGCTCAGGAAGCTCAGTGGCCAGTGCTGGGGCTCAAGTTCACTTCCAAGGAAGACGTGTGAGAATGCTGCAGTTGCTCTAAGAGAGTACTGTGCTTGCTCTAGAAGGGCAAGACTTGCTGTGTTGTACTTGCCCTTTGGAAGCTGCTGGAGTCAGCTTGGGCTCTGTATTAGTCCATTCTTGCATTGCCAGAAAGAACAACCTGAGACTGTGTAATTTATAAAGAAATGAGGTTTAATTGACTCACAGTTCTGCAGGCTGTACAGGAAGCATGGCGTGGAGGCCTCAGGAAACTTACATCATGGCAGAAGGCAGAAGGGAAGCAAGCACATTTTACCATGGTGGACCAGGAGAGAAAGGGAGCAAAGGGGAAAGGTGCCACACTTTTAAACAAGCAGGTCTCCTGAGAGCTCACTCATTTTCACAAGAACAGCAAGGGGGAAATCTGCCCCCTTGAGCCAGTCACCTCCCACCAGGCCCCTCCCCCAATATTGGGGATTACAATTCAACATAAGATTTGGGCGGGGACACAAATCCAAACCATATCAGGTTGTTATCACAATATCACAGACTGGCGGGCCTAACAAAAATGTCTGTTATTTCTGGAGATTGGTAGTCCAAGATTAAGGTGCTGGTGTTGTCTGGTGCCTGTCCAGGACTCTTCCCTTGGGTTGCCAACACTGCCTTCTCACGTGTGCCGACATGACTGACTGGGAGAGGGAGCTCTCTGGTGTCTCTTATTTTACGGACGCATGTCTTGTCGGATCAGGACCCCACCCTTGTGACTGACTTTAACCTTAATTACTTCTTCAGAAGTCCCATCTCCAAATATGGCCATATTGGGGGTTACAGTTTCTGCATACGAATTCTGGGGGACACAAACCTAATAGGAGCTGATGGGTCTCAAAACGTTGCCTCGAGCAGTGCATTAACAGAACCTGAGAAGAGCTTGATCGTCACGAGGTACAGTCGGCCTCTCACCCACCATCCAGGTGAAACCAATCTGCAGACCAGCGTCCTCGCTGGAAGAGGAGGCTGATGCTGGGGGAAGGGCCCCACAACACTGAAACCAGCACATGCCATGTTTTCCTCCAAGCATTCTCCGAGGGTACATGTGGGCTTTGCCAGGGGTCTGTGCCCTGGGAAAAAGAAAAATCAGTTGTTATTATTTTTTGAGACAGAGTTTTGTTTTGTTTTGAGACAGAGTCTCACTCTGTAGCCAGGCTGGAGCGCAATGGTGTGATCTCAGCTCACTGCAACCTCTGCCTCCCAGGTTCAAGCCATTCTCTTGCCTCAGTCTCCCGAGTAGCTGGGATTACAGGCGCCCACCACCACACCCGGCTAATTTTTGTATTGTTGGTAGAGACAGGGTTTCACCATTTTGGCCAGGTTGGTCTCAAACTCTCGACCTCAGGTGATCCACCTGCCTCAGCCTCCCAAAGTGCTGGGATTACGGGCGTGAGCCACCGTGCCTGGCCGGAAAAATCAGTTATTTTAGGGGATGGTATGGGTGGTAATCTTTATGGGTTCTGAATCATTCCTAATCCCAGGGGTCCCAGATGCCACTGGCTTCCTAGTCAGAGGGAGGGCGTGTGGAGGTCAGGTGGTAAGGGGGTCCACAGGAGGGCGTGTGGAGGTCAGGTGGTAAGGGGGTCCACAGACCTCATCTGTGGTCGTCTTTCCAGTTCCTGAATGTGTAATTGGAACAGTCACTTGACAATGGGAAACTCCCACACTGGCCTGCAGAGGAAGGGCCAGCCAGGTAGGAAGGGCCAGGTGGATGTCACCTTCCCAGGGTTGTAGTCCAAAGGCAAAATGCATTGCTGACTTGGAAGAGTCCTGCATGGGTGATTCACCTGGGAAGAAGGTGAGTGGCCCTTGGGGATGTGGTTAAGGAGGACGGGAATGACTCCATTCAACTGCTGCTCCAGAGCCTCATCACCAGGACAAATCCACCTCGCCGGTTTTCTGTGTGACTACCAGGACCCATCCGCTGTCATGGGCGGGGCCTCCGCCTCCTGCACAGCTCCACAGTCTGGCCTCTGGACCCAGTGCGGGCTCCTGCTCTCTGCCCTCATCTGCTCAGAGATCTGCATCGTCTGCACCCTCTGGTTCTATGGAATTGGGTGAGCTGAAGTAACAAGTACTTTGGGAGGCCGAGACGGGTGGATGGCTTGAGTCCAGGAGTTCGAGACCAGCCTGGGCAGCACATGAGACCCCTCCCATCTCTACAAAAATACAACAACAAAAAATTAGCCGGGCGTGGTGGCACACGCCCGTAGTCCCAGCTACTTGGGTGGCCGAGGTGGGAGGATGGTTTGAGCTCGGGAGGCAGAGGTTGCAGTGAGCTGAGATCACCCCGGAACTCCAGCCTGGGCAACAGAGCTAGACCCTGTCTCAAAAACCCACAAAACAAGTGTTGGCGATGCCTCAGGAAGGGGAGCCCAGGCCGGGAGGCTCCTCGGGACAGCAGGTACTGCGTCAGGCGGCCAGGAGCTCCCCAGGTGTGCGAGGGGTTTGAGGGCACGGAGGGCTGAACAGGCAGAAGCGGACACGGAGGCAAGAAAACACCTGCAGGAGGCAGCTGCCCCCTAAGCTAAGGCTGGGGGCCCAGGAGGGGTGGTCCGTGCAGGAGCCGGGGGAGGGAGGCCGCTGGCGAAAGGGGCGCCCCCTGGGCACGGCCTCGGAGGAGCGGGCCGGCCCCCAGGTCCCTCAGCCGAGCCCCCGTACCGGGCCTCGTCCTGGAGAACGCTCTGGCTGCTGCTTGGGCATCTTGGGCTGCGCTCAGTCTAGTCCCTTCCCTACCTGAAGGGAGGCGCCCGACAGCCTGGACGCCGGAGGCCCTCAGGGAACGCAGGACGAGGGAGCGGCGATTGACCCTCCGATGCCAGTCGGGGCGGGGCTTGGACGGCGGGGCGGGGCCTGGAGGGCGGGAATGACGAGAGGGGCGGGACCTGTTAGGAGCGCAGGGCGGGGCTTCGATGGCAGGGCGGAGCCGTCAATGCGCAGGCGCGGCGGCGTCCCGCCCACTCCGGCCTAGCGGCTCTGGGCCTGCGGCGGACGCTGAGGGTTGGAGCCCGGGACGCGGTCGCGGGTGCGTGCGCGCGGCCGCCCGGAGCGCTGGGCTGAGGGTCCCGGGCTGCGGTTCCACGGCGGGTGGGGGTCGCGGGGCGCGATCTCGGGCGCCGTCAGCCAATCTGTGCCTGTGAGCGGGGGTGGGGGCGGCACTGCAGCTCGTCACGTGACCGCGTGGAACGCGCGCGCGTCCGCGGGGTCCCCTTGGGAGCGAGCGTGGCGGCTTGGGGTCCGGGGCAGGTCCCGGCGAGGCCGCCGCGAGCCTGCGTGTCGCTAAGTCCAGGCCGGCTGCAGGGGCTTCGCGCGCTCGCGGGCCGGGCCGGGGGAGGGCCCGGGTGCTCGGAGCCTTCCCCTTCGCTGCCCTCCTGCCCCTCTCCCTGCTTCTGCAAGCGTTTTTCAACTTGTACAATGTGCATAAAACGTGAAATTCCCCTTGGCCATTTCCAGGCGCGCAGCCAGCAGCTCCCGGCCCTTGCCCCCCGGGCCCTGAGTACCGGCCTCGCCCCGAAGGAGGAGCCCGAGGCCTCCGTCCCGGCGGCGATGCTGCCCCGTCAGCTGCTGGCGCGGCCCGCGTGGTTGTTCCGGTGTCCCCCGGGGCCGCGCGGGGCTTGTGTCCCGGGAGCCGCGGGTTCTTGGGGTCGGCCGGTTGGCCCCCTGGCCCGCAGGGGCTGCTGCTCCGCCCCCGGGACCCCGGAGGTGCCGCTGACCCGGGAGCGCTACCCCGTGCGGCGCTTGCCGTTCTCCACGGTGTCTGAGCAGGACCTGGCCGCCTTTGAGCGCATCGTGCCCGGCGGGGTCGTCACGGACCCGGAGGCGCTGCAGGCTCCCAACGTGGACTGGATACGGACGCTGCGAGGTGGGTGAGGCTTGGGAAACTGCGGCGGGGCCGCGTCCCTGCTCTCCTGCGCCTTCTGGTGGAGGCTTCAAATCGGGCTGAGAACGAGCTGGGTCGGGGTGCCAGCCCCTGGCTGCGCTGAGAGGGGCGTGTGCACCGCCACAGGCTGCTGGAATAAAGGACCACGAACGAGTCGCTTAGAACAACCCAAGTTTTTATTTTTTTATTTTATTTTATTTTATTTTGAGACGGAGGCTTACTCTGTCGTCAGGCTGGAGTGCAGTGGCTCACTGCAACCTCCGCCTCCCAGGTTCAAGTGATTCGCCTGCTTCAGCCTCCCTAGTAGCTGGAACTACAGGCGCCCGCCACCACGTCCCGCTAATTTTTGTATTTTTAGTAGAGACAGGGTTTCACCATGTTGGCCAAGATGGTCTCGATCTCTTGACGTCGTGATCCGTCCACCTCTGCCTCCCAAATTGCTGGGATTACAGGCGTGAGCCACTCCGACTCTGCCCGGCCAGCAACTCAACTTTGTCGGGCGCAGTGGCTCTGCCAGTATTCTCAGCTGCCCTGGAGGCTGAAGCCAGAAGTTCAAGACCAGCCTGGGCAACGTAGCAAGACCCCCCCACCCCCGCCTCTCCCCCATCGTCTCTAAAAATAAAAATAAGTAAATAAATAAAATTAGCCAGCCCAGGATTAAAAAAACAAACAGAAACAAAGTTACTCCAGCCCAGGAGTTCAAGTTTGCAGTGGAGTGTGATCTCACCACTGCATTCCAGCCTGGGCAACACAGCAAGACTACATCCCTAAAACAAAACAGAATTTCCCTCCCCACCAAACCCCACAAGTTTATTCTTTAAGCTCTGGAGGCCAAAAGTGTGAAATCAGGGTATCACAGGGCTGCGCTCCCTCCACTCCCTCCAAAACCTCCAGAGAAGGCTCCTTCCTGCCTCTTCTAGCTCCTGGTGGCCCCAGATACCAAATTACTCCAATCTCTGCCTCTGTTTTTCATACAGGTTTCTCTTCTCTGTGACACTTCTCCATTTGTCTTATAAAGACACTTTTCATTGGATTGAGGGCCCACCCTAATCGGGATGATCTCATCTCAGTACTATCAACTTAATTACACTTGCAAAGACCGTTTTTCCTTTTTTTTTTAGGGGGGGACGAAGTCTCGCTCTTGTTGCCCCGGCTGGAGTGCAGTGGTGCGATCTCGGCTCACTGCAACCTCTCCGTCCTGGGTTCAAGCAATTCTGCTTCAGCCTCCCAAGTAACTGGGATTACAGGCGCCCACCTCCACCCCTGGCTAATTTTTGTATTTTTAGTAGAGACAGGGTTTCACCATGTTGACCAGGCTGGTCTTGAACTCCTGACTTCAGGTGATCCACTCACCTTGGCCTCCCAAAGTGCTGGGATGACAGGCATGAGCTCCGGCGCTCAGCTGGACCATATTTTCTTTTTTTTTTTTTTTTTGAGACGCAGTCTCGCTCTATCGCCCAGGCTGGAGTGCAGTGGCACGATCTCGGCTTACTACAAACTCTGCCTCCTGGGTTCACTCCATTCTCCTGCCTCAGTCTCCTGAGTAGCTGGGACTACAGGTGCCCGCCACCACGCCCGGCTAATTGTTTTTGTATTTTTAGTAGAGACAGGGTTTCACCGTGTTAGCCAGGATGGTCTGGATCTCCTGACTTCGTGATCTGCTTGCCTTGGCCTCCCAAAGTGCTGAGATTACAGGCATGAGCCACTGCGTCCAGCCCCGTTTTTTCAAATAAGGTCCCATTCACAGGTCCTGGGGCATTGGGAAGTGGACATATCTTTTTGGAACCCACTAGGTAAGGTGAAGGGCTCCTGGCCGGCCACGCCTGCTCCTCTCCTCCCACTGCACTCCTGCCCACTGGCTTACAAGTCTGTGCATTAATGAGGAACTTCTCAGTCTCTGGGGCTGGCACTTCCTTTTGGTAACAGTGCCCAGTTTTCTCTTATTTTTATTTTATTTATTTTTTTGAGACTGAGTCTTGCCCTGTCAGGGTGGAGTGCAGTGGCACAATCTCCGCTTATTGCAACCTCCACCTCCTGGGGTCAAGTGATTTTCGTCTCAGTCTCCTGAGTAGCTGGGACTACAGGCCTCCACCACCACAGCCAGCTAATTTTTGTATTTTTTTAGTAGAGATGGGGTTTCACCATGTTGGCCAGGCTGGTCTCGAACTCTTGACCTCAGGTGATCACCCACCTTGGCCTCCCAAAGTGCTGGGATTACAGGCATGAGCCGCGGTGCCTAACCCAGTTTTCTCTTTGAAATAATTGCAGGCTGGTGTGGCGGCTCACACCTGTGACCCAGTTCTGTGGGAGATCACTTGAGCCCAGGAGTTCAAGACCAGCCTGGGCAACATGGTGAAACTCTCTCTCTACAAAAAATTAAAAATTAGCTGTGTGTGGTGGCCTGTGTCTGTGGTCCCAGCTGCTTGGGAGGCTGAGGTGGGAGGACAGCTTTAGCCTGGGAAGTTGAGGCTGCAGTAACTGTGACAGTACCACTGCTCTCTAACTTGGGTAACAGAAAAAAATGATTTCTGAGATAACATAACCTACGTGCTTACACCATTAAAAAAAATCAACATGGTGTTCTTGCTAAAATAGTAAAGCGAGGTAGAAGAGAATTGGTTGACTCTAATTTACAACAAAATGATATAGTTAAACCTGTAGCACTGGCACCAGGTCCTGGGGCGGAACATAGGGTGTGCTGTCATTGGGAAGATCTGGAATTGTTTTTATCTTTTTGTTGTTGTTGTTTTGGCCCTTGTAGAAGATTGAAAGTATTAAGAACACCCAAAGTTTCCAGACCATGTAATCTGGGAGTACAGTGGGTGTTAAAACAGTTCAGAAAGTTAGCAAGTTGAACTGGGGTCTAGGCTCAGATGATGGAAGCAGCTCTTTCCCTGCAGAAAGGCTGGGAGACACTGGAAATCACTGGACCAATGGTCACTACGTAGGAGCTCTCTTGAGTGAACGGCCCCCACCCTCACCCTGCTCCCTAAATAAAGACCCCTCTGGGGCGATCTCAAGCTGCAGCTTTGAGCATCCACCATGGCCCAGGGCCTGCGGGCTCATGAGTGTTGTCCCTGGAGCCAGGTGAGGATGGAAGCCCACTCTGGGCTTGGCTAAGTCAGGCCCCAGTCCTGGCTCAGCACTGCTGCCTGGGTGGCCCTAGGCAGTTGACCCTCAGTGCCTGCCCTACAAAATGGGGCTTGGGGCCATTGCCTTGGGAACGCCATGTGGGTGAGTGGGGCAGGAACCTAGCGTGAGCCTTGAGCACAAGGCTCGGATTCCCGTGCTCCCAGCCTGCACAGAGGCCAGCACCCTGGGCTATGCTGCTGCTGCCCTAGTGGGTGAGGGGGCTCTCCCAGGGCTTGCAGGAGTGGGGTGGAAGCTGTAACTGAGATTGAGGGGTGGCCACACTATTCCTCGCCCCTGCCTTGCCTGAGCCTGACTGGGCAAGAATTGGCTGTCCCCCTGGGACCCCTGTCTCCAGTCAGCACGCTTTTTGGATGTCCGTGGCCATGGACAGCCTGTCTTGCTGCAGGGCCGCCCCTCAGTGTCTGTGTGCGCCTGTGGGAGGGCACCTTCCTCTGCATCCTGCTGCCCGGGGTTTGGTGAGGGCAAGGCTGAATTTCACTCATCTTTGAGTCCACAGGTTTGGTCCTGAATGTCTGCTCAGTAGATGTTTACTGAGGTGAGGCTTAGTGGTTGAATTTTAGATGAATTGCCCCTTAGTGTGGCTTGCTTTTGGAGAGAGAGCGTGTCTAGACTTCTGAAAACTCATTAAGCATCATATTCAAAAATCTAGACCATTTGCTCCAGATGGATGCTGCAGACGTTTAGTGAGCATGCCTGCACTGGCGGGAAGGTGGGGGTTTCACAGTGTGAAAACAGGCTGGACCCTTGGGTCACCTCTGGCGGCTCTGCCCCCACGGCCCCCTCTCTCTTTGTGGGGCTCCCATCGTTAACACTGGACCACAGGGAGGGAGCCGTCCTTTTTATCCTTCCCGTTAGAAGGTAAACATCACAGGAGTGGGAAGTTCTGTCCTTCTGTCCGCATTCTGTGTCTGGAATGCGGCCTGGCCTGCATTCTGGGGTGCACTCATGTATGTGTTGACAACCCTGTCACAGGTGCGTCCCAAGTGTGCCCAAGTCGAAAGCTTTGCCATGAGTCCTGGGGCTCCCGAGCCGAGTCGGGGACAGCGATGCAGCGAGCGCAGGTGCCACAGTTCCCTCAGGTGCTGCACTGAAGTGTCGGCCAAGGCCCAGGTGCCCAGCAGGCCCCTCTGCAAACATTGCTGGTTTGATGAAAGAGAGATTAAGTGGCTTTCCGATCAGAAAAGTAAGGTGGACACCACAGCCTGGTTCTCAGAGCTCCGTGAAGAGGTGACAGGCACCTGTGACTGCACATGCTGTCTGTCTGCAGCCCCTATCACCTGGGAAAGTCGTCTCAAGGAAACCCAAAGGCAGAAAGACGCCAGCTTACTTGGGGCAGCAGTGGTTAGCAACACCGGCCAACCAGCTTAGAGGGCTCCCATTGGTCACAGCCAGGCACTCAGCAAATAAGGCAGCCAAGACTTACGGCTCAGTGAATAAAATGAGAAGCCGAGAGCCCTCATCACTGTGAATAAGCAGCTACATAAACACGTCAGCGGGAGCGACGGGAAAGCCCTCCCTCGTGGCAGAGTCAGCTAAGAGGCCAGGCGCAGTGACTCATGCCTGTAACCCCAGCCCTTAGGGAGGCTGAGGTGGGTGGATTGCTTGAGGCCATGAGTTCAAGACCAGCCTGGGGAACATGGCGAAACCCTGTTTCTACTAAAAATATCAAAATTAGCCAAGCGTGGTGGCAGGCACCTGTAGTCCCAGCTACCTGGGAGGCTGCGGTGGGAGGATCACTTGCGCCCAGGAGGTTGAGGCTGCAGTGAGCTGATTGTACCACTGCACTCCAGCCTGGGTGACAGAGTGAGACCCTGTCTCAAAAGAAATAAAAGGAAATGTAGGTGGACTATTGGATTTAGGAAAATCACTCGTTGGCAACCATCCTAGTAACTGATTCAGTCTAAAATAATCAAAGATGTTAATGGGTGAAGCTTGAGGAGCGACAGGATGTCCACAAGGATGAAGTGTCTGCGTGTGAGGTGTGCACACATCACAAACGAAGTGTGGTGGCATGGCAGGAGGGAAGCCTGCAGACAGCCTGTTACCATGGAACCGAGCTGACCTCACCACAAGTGGGTGGGCAACCTCAGAGCCACCAATGCCTGGCCTGTGGGACTCTCGTCCATGGGCCCAGCCTCACCCACCTCTGCACACTGCCCAGTGCCCGGCCTGCCACCTCCCACGTGGGACCTAGTTTTGGTTTTTTTGAGATGGGGTCTTGCTCTGTCATCCAGGCTGGAGTGCAGTGTTGCGATCATAGCTCACTGCACCCTCAACCTCCTGGGCTCAGGTGATTCTCTCTCCTCAGCTTCCCAAATAAGATCACTGTCTGGGGGCTGGGCATGGTGGCTCACGCCTGTAATCCCAGCACTTTAGGAGGCCACGGTGGGCAGATCACAAGGTCAGGAGTTCAAGACCAGCCTGGCCAACATGGTGAAACCCCATCTCTACTAAAAATACAAAATTTAGCCAAGTGTGGTGGTGGGTGCCTGTAATCCCAGCTGCTCGGGAGGCTGAGGCAGGAGAATTGCTTGAACCCGGGAGGGAGAGGTTGCAGTGAGCCAAGATCGTGCCACTGCACTTCAGCCTGGGCAACAGAGTGAGACTCCATCTCCAAAAGAAAAAAGCTCACTCTGGAGAGAGCGCCCACTTGCCTCATCTGCAGCTCCCCCCACGCTGTCTCACGGGGTTTCCTTCCTGTCACAGGCTCTAGCAAGGTGCTGCTGAGGCCACGGACCTCGGAGGAGGTGTCCCACATCCTTAGGTGAGTTGGTGGCGCCCGGCTCCCCCAAGCCCTTCTGTGTTGCCTGCCGGTCATTTCCTCGTGGGGCCTGTGGGCAGCTGGGGTGACGCGGTGCGAAGTCAGCCGATGACATCTTGGTTTGTGTGTTTCAGCGTTTGTTCTGTGGTTTTTTAAGTGCTATCTCAATGCATCTATGGTGTGTAATCATTTCCCCCCATTTGGCAATGCCCCTGCACATTTCTTGGCACCATCTGTAACAGCAAAGATCCTCCCCCATGGACACGCTACAGGGTGGCACTGGTCTCCAGGTTTCCATGATTGTAGACAGTGCTTTAGATCATCCTCAGCAGGTACTTTGTGGCAATTTGTACTTACTCTGTTAAACTCCGTCCCTGGGGCTTGCTGCCTCCAGGGTTTATTTAATGTACGTGGGCAGATTCCTCTCTCCAGGTCAGGGAGCTTTGATTTCTCCAAACCCTTACCCGTTGGGTGTGCTCAAGGCTTTGGGGCTTTGCAAAGGTACAGACTGGTTGGGAGGGAGGTATCCTTGGGCACACATCTGGGGGATGACGGGCCAAGGCTGGGGAGATGCAGGCAGAGGGTGGAAGGGGGTGGGGGCAGTGCAGTCGAGGAGCCCTGAGCTGGGCCCTCTGTGACCACAGTGTGAACGGGAAGGATGGGAGCGGGGTGTGTAGGACGTTCTGTCCTGTGCGGGAAGTCTTTTAGGACATTAGAATCGGGGCCTCCACTTCCGTCACCCTGTGCTCGGCTCCTGGATTGGCATCTGTCCTTCCTCAGAATCCCTCACATGCGTGGGCTGGGGAGGAACCGCCGCCGGGGCTGCAGGCAGAGCACAGTAATCAAGATTTGGGGTCAGGCACTGGTCCTGTGGCGTGTCCTTGGGGATGGTAGCGTGGGGGTGGGGACAGAGCCCCGATGTCCCTCTTGTCCTCATCCCAGGCACTGCCACGAGAGGAACCTGGCCGTGAACCCACAGGGGGGCAACACAGGCATGGTGGGTGGCAGCATCCCCGTCTTTGACGAGATCATCCTCTCCACTGCCCGCATGAACAAGGTCCTCAGCTTCCACAGTGTGTCTGGTAAGCCTGTGCCACCCTTCGGGGCCCAGGTGTCCCTCCTCGTCTGGTGGAGTTCTTCCTTGCCAGTGTCTGCGACTCGCAGTGCTTGGGTGGGCGAAAGAGTCAGGGGCGGGGCTGGGGAAAGAACCAGCGTCTATAGCCTGGCTGCCCAGCCCCACCTCGCCTGGCCCCTCCAGACATGCCTGCTGTGGGGTCACTTTGATGACGTATGGTGAGGGCTGTCACTCTGGTCCCTTCTGGCTCCAGCCTGCTCTGGAGGTGTGTGCGGTGCAGAGTGGCAGGCAGAGGGGATCCTGTGCTCACATGGCATGGCAGACCCAGGGCGCCAGGGCGTGGCAGGCGTGAGGGGATCCTGTGGTCATGTGGCACAGCAGACCCAGGGTGCCAGGGTCCTGCTCTGGAGCTGGGCCTCTCCCCACAAGGCCGGGCTCCAGGCCCCGGTCACTCTCTGGTCAGGCACCTGCACTGTAGGGTGTTGAGCAGCATCCCTGGCCTCTGCCTACGAGGTTCCCATGGCACCCCCAACCCAGAACGTCTCCAGACACTGTCCCATGTGCCCAGGGCCAGGATCAGCCCCAGCCGAGAATCTTCCCCCTTCTGCTCCTTTCTAGGAGCATGTGTGTGGGTGAAGTTTTTCCCTCTCTTTTCATGTTACCCATTTTTCTTTTGTGTCACTATAATCATAAAGGTCCTGTTAGGCCCGGATGTTTTCAGCCTTGGGCCAGTGATGTGGGGGCACCTCTTCTCCTCGGCCCTGGCGCTGAGGCTGATGTTCCTTCTGGGTGGCCTGCCTGTGCAGGATGGGGGTGGGCCCCACCAGCCCCGGGCCCACTGGAAACCGAGTGCTGTGGCAGCCTGGTCGCTCTCTGCAGGAATTCTGGTTTGCCAGGCGGGCTGCGTCCTGGAGGAGCTGAGCCACTACGTGGAGGAACGGGACTTCATCATGCCGCTGGACTTAGGAGCCAAGGGCAGCTGCCACATCGGGGGAAACGTGGCAACCAACGCTGGGGGCCTGCGGTTTCTTCGATACGGCTCACTGCATGGGACTGTCCTGGGCCTGGAAGTGGTGAGCTGGGGCAGCCGCTTGGCGCAGAGGTGGCCATGGGGTGTCCTCTCGCGGCTCTCGTGGGCCCACGTGGTGGTGCAGGTGCATGGGGCCCCTCGGGGTGGGAGGTCTTGGTTCCTGGCCCTGGGCCCCTCAGGGACGTGCGGGCTACATACACCCCCGTCCTGAGGGAGGCCTGGCCCTGCCCTGCCCTCCCATGAGAGGGTGAGTTTGTGTCCACTGCCTCAGGGCCACACGGAGAGGATGCAGTTACAGGGGCCGCCACCCTGGCAGTGGTGGTCTTCTGGGAGCCAGGTGTGAAGGAAGGTTCATCCAGGGTCAGCTTCGTGACCTTGTGTCGACCGCTGTTCCTCCAGGGCCCCTCCGTTTCCCCGCACCCTCACCAGCCGAGTGTCACGGGCAGAGCTCTCTGTCCTGTTTACCCACGTGGACGAAGCAAACACAAAACCATGCTTTGCTGCTATCCAGTAAATTATGACACTCCAGTAGCTTTTATTCTGGCCAGCCACTGACTCTCTTTATTATAAATTACTTTCTTGCACTCACGAGCTGTAGAAGCCTCCGACTCCCAGTACCAGCACACAGGACACGGAAAGGCCCACAGCTCGGGAGCTTTGCTGCCTTATGGCTGGTGGGTCCGGAGGTGGCTGGGTCCTGGGCTTGGCTCTTTTCTGCGTTCTCAATGCCCTACTACCAGGGAGCCTCCCCACTGCCCCCAACCCCGGGCATGCCCCCTGGGCAGTGAGCTGCTGTGTGTGGGGGGGTGTCACTCGTATGGGAGGAAAGTCCATCCGTCAGCCTCTTGGCATGACCGCAGGCTGTTGCAGCAGTGTCACCTGGCCCCGGAGGTGACCGACGCGGTGTCAGGAGGCTGGCAGGCGGGTGAACGCGCTTCTCTTTGCCCCCAGGTGTTGGCCGACGGCACCATCCTGGACTGCCTGACCTCCCTGAGGAAGGACAACACGGGCTATGACCTGAAGCAGCTGTTCATCGGGTCGGAGGGCACTTTGGGGGTCATCACTGCGGTGTCCATCCTGTGTCCACCCAAGCCCAGGGCTGTGAACGTGGCTTTCCTCGGTGGGCTTCCTCAATTTGTGCCTTGAGACGGGGAGTTGGGCTCGAGCGTCTGCTCTGATGGTGCTGGTGTGAGGAAGGGGATGGAGGGACCCCCCCAGGACTGTCGGTTCCCATATCTCCTGACATCTCTGCTTCCAAGGGAATCAAATCCAGGGCCTGGCTTTCCTGGTGGTCGTGGGTAAAGGTCTGGAGTGAGGCCTGTCTCTGTCTCTGGTCAGAGGACACTTCATTTCATAGCAAAACTGAGGCTTGTGTTGCCTCCTTCACTCCACTGTGTTGGTTAAGTAGCTTGTGGTGTAAGATTGAGGGACGTGCTGTCATTTGGCATCAGTTCAGGACACCACTCTCAGTTACCGTGGGGATAAAGAATTCCCTCCTGTAATGGGGGTCTTCCCTAGTCAGCCCAGATTGGGGGTCTCAGCAGACCTGCCTGCTGCCGTGTCTCCACAGGCCTGCTTTCCTCACGGCCACTTCTTCGGTTCTCCCGGCACGTGCCTTTGTCTCCTTTCTTGCTTCGTTTGAATCGGGCGGGTTTATCCAGCATCTCCTCCTCAGGGGTTCAGAAGTCGCACAGCCCAGCAGTCTTCGTGTGAGTGGTGGCGGGTCTAGCTCACCGACTCCGAGTTCAGTGTCTTGAGCTGCCAGAAGATTGGGCAGCCCTGGAGGCTGCTGAGACTCCGCTTGTTCCCTCAGCACTTACATCTTGTGATGTGTGTTCCGTATTTAAACAATCTCACCAGGATTGTTATTTTGTGGCCACTGTCTCTGCCTTCCACTCTCTCGCGTCCGATCTTCCGTTTGGGAGTATGTTGCAAACATATCCTCGTTCGTTTCCTGAGGTAAAGGTCTCCTGGTGACCACTTCCTCCCTTCTGGTGTGTCTGCAAATACCTTTATTTCACCCTCATTCTTGAAGGCTCTTCTCCGCAGGCACACGGCTGCTGGCTGTCGTTTGTTTTCTTTCATCTCGGTGGAAATGCCGCCCCTGTCCTCTGGCCTCCTCACTGTTGGGTACTTCGCTGTCTGTAGGCGCTGCTGTGAGGGGATTCTGCCTGTCTCCCGGCCCCCTGTGGGCCACTTTAAACATCACTCTTTTTGATCTTCTAAAGTTTTCAGTGTGTGGTGTTAGTTCTTTTTCATCTCTTTGGAATTACTGAATTTCTTAAACCTGTGACTTGGCATCTTTTACCAGTTCTAGAAATTCTTAGCCGTTATTGCTTCAGATATTGCCTGTGTTTTCCTCTCCTTTTGGGAATGTGATTCAGGATAGAACGTCTCGTCCGTCTTCTGTGTCTCTTAATCTCCCCTCCGTATTGTCATCATCGTGTCTCTCTGTGCTGGATTCTGTGTGATTTCTTCTCATCTGTCTTCCAGTTCACGAATGCCCCCTTCTGCTGTGTTTTATATGCTGCTGAACCCCTCCATGGATGGTTTGCTCTGTCCATTGAGTTTTACATTTTGATTATGAAAGTTTTTTATTTCTATAAGTTTTATTATTTTTTTCAAATCTGCAATGTCACTTTCTATAGTTTTTTATTCTGGGTATTCTCAAGCTCACCATTTTTGTCTTTAAACATAGTTTGTCGTCTATAATCCCAGCACTTTGGGAGGCCAAGGTGGGTGGGTCACTTGAGGTCAGGAGTTTGAGACCAGCCTGGCCAACATGATGAAACCCCATTTCTACTAAAAGTACAAAAATTAGGCTGGGCGCAGTGGCTCACACCTATAATCCCAGCACTTTGGGAGGCTGAGGCAGCCAGATCACGAGGTCAGAAGTTCGAGACCAGCCTGATCAACAGGGTGAAACACCGTCTCTATTAAAAATACAAAAATTAGTCGGGCATGGTGGTGGCCGCCTGTAATCCCAGCTATTTGGGAGGCTGATGCAGGAGAATCGCTTGTAACCGGAAGGCAGAGGTTGCAGTGGGCTGAGATTGCGCCATTGCACTCCAGCCTGGGTGACAGAGCGAGACTCTGTCTCAAAAAAAAAAAAAAAAAAAAACTTTGAATAATTTTTTATGATGTTTTATAATCAGGCAATTCCAATTCCATTTTTTCAAGTCTGTAGTCAGTCTGTAAAGGTTTTTTTACAGACAAGGTCTCACTCTGTTGCCCAAGCTGGAGTGCAGTGGTGTGATCACAGCCCCTGGGCTCAAGCCATCCTCTCAAGTAGCTGGGATTACAGGTGCACACCACCATGCCTAGGTAATTTAAAAAAAATTGTGTGTAGAAACAGGGTCTCATCATGTTGCCTAGGCTGCTCTTGAACTCCTGGGCTCAAACGATCCTCCCACCGTGGCCTCCTAACGTGTGGGGGTTATAGGTGTGAGCCTGAGCCACTGCACCAGCCTGTGTGGTCTGTTTTTAGCATCTGTTGTTCCTGCTGGTTCACCCTCCTGGCTCCTTAGTTTCTCATGTGCTTGGCTGGCTGTGGCAGTGTTCAGCTCGTTACGTTTGAAAAATTATTTGTAGGGGTTCCTAGATGCCAAAGACAAAGCACCTTCCTCCCGAGAGGGTTTGTTTCTGCTTTTGCTAGGGGGCTTTGGGTCTGTGTAGCCTGGGAGTGATCAAGTTCATAGGATGAAGTTCTGTGAACCTCCCAGGCAACAAGTCAGTGTAGGGCTATGTAGGGCTGATCGAGGGTCATGATTTATCAGGAAAGGTTTTTTTTTTTTTAATATGATTATTCTGTATATTTTTGAGAGACAAGGTCTCGCTCTGTCACCCAGGCTGCAGTGCAGTGGTGCAATCGTGGCTCGCTGCAGCCTTGACCTCCTGTGCTGAAGGGATCCTCCTGCCTCAGCCTCCCAAGTAGCTGGGACCAGGTGTGTACCACCATGCCTGGCTAAATTTTTAAAATTGTTTTGTAGAGACAGGGTCTCACTGTGATGCCCAGGCTGGTCTTGAACTCCTGAGCTCAAACAATTCTCCTGCCTTGGCCTCCCAAAATGCTGGGGCTACAGGCATGAACGCCTGTGCCGGGCTCCATTCTGCGTTTTTCTCATTCTGTTTAACCACTTCCCCTGCAGTCTTCGGGGCAAGTTGGTTGGGACAGGCTTGCTTCTGGGCCTGACTCCTAAGATGTGGTCTTGTGGGGGTCTCCTGGATTCCTCACTCTGGGTGGGCTGGGAAGCTTGAGGCCAAACCTGCTGGTGGGGCAAGGGCTGTCGGCCAAGAGCGGCACTGGGCTTGGTGCTGCTCAGCCCCCAGGTCAGGCTCTTCCCTTGCCCTTGACGCTCTTCAGCATTGTTGTTTTTTTTTCTGGGACAGAGTCTCTCTCTTGTCGCCCAGGCTGGAGTGCAGTGGCGCGATCTTGGCTCACTGAAACCTCCGCCTCCTGGTTCAAGCAATTCTCTTGCCTCAGCCTCCCAAGTAGCTGGGATTACAGGCGCCCGCCACCACGTCCAGCTAGTTTTTGTATTTTTAGTAGAGACAGGGTTTCGCCATGTTGGCCAGTCTGGTCTCCAGCTCCTGACCTCAAGTGATCTGCCCGCCTCGGCCTCCCAGAGTGTGGGATTACAGGTGTGAGCCACTGCGCCTGGCCTCTTCAGCATTTTTCTTCGGTGTTTTCTGGCCCAGCGTTTGTGGTGGTTTCACTGGGCGCTGGGTCACATGGCCTAGCCCATCGCTGCTGGGTGGGGGCTCCTTCTCCTGGATCTGCCCTAATCAGGACTTGCCCGCTTCACTGGTGCCGCTCCCACCAAGGCTGCCACTCACTGTCCTCCCACCACCAACCCACCCGTCAGTTCTTATTGCCCCTCTCGCCCATTGCCTCTGGCACGAGCCTGGCCTGTGATGCTGCCCCCACACCCTCTTCTTGCCCACCCTCCACCTTCAGCCCCTGGTGGGGCTCCTCACCCCTGACCCCGGAACGGCTGGGGCAGCCCTGACTGCTTCTGCCAGACTCTCTCTGGGTGGCAGTGCTGTCTGGATCAGTGGGTCCTCTTCATCCACGTTTTCTGTTTTCTGCTCTCTGCTCTGATCCCACTCCGACTGCAGTCACCTGTGTGCCGCCTGCCTGTGGTCCTGGGAGCCCGAGGCCAGCCCGGCTGCCACATCCTGTTCTTCCTGCCTCCAGGTCTCAGAGAGGAGTCACTCGCCTCTTTGTGCCGCACCCACATCTAAACCGTGTAGAACAGGCCCCTGTGAGGATGGCCCTGGGGTCCCACATGCTCGTGGACTCAGTCCGGCTCTCCAGGGCCCCAGTCAGCCCTGGCTCCTGCCCTCCTGCAGCTGGGGCGACTTCCCACGTGGCACTCCTGTCCCACTTCCTGGGGCTTCCCACCCACTCTGAGCAAGATGCCAAGTCCCCACCGCCAGACCCTCCAACACCACCGACACCTCCCACAGCCTGGCCTCTGTGCGTCTGCAGCCACCGCTGGAGCCTCCCAACACCACCGACGCCTCCCACAGCCTGGCCTCTGTGTGCGTCTGCAGCCACGCCAGAGCCTCCAACACCACCGCGCCTCCCACAGCCCCTGGCCTCTGTGCGTCTGCAGCCACCGCGGACCCTCGCCTGACACCACCGACGCCTCCCACAGCCTGGCCTCTGTGCGTCTGCAGCCACCGCGGACCCTCTGGCTTACCGACGCCTCCTGGCCTGGCCTCTGTGCGTCTGCAGCCACCGCCCGGACCCTCTGGCTACCGCGCCTCCCACAGCCTGGCACACCACCGACGCCTCCCACAGCCTGGCCTCTGTGCGTCTGCAGCCACACCCCATGATAGCGCTTGGGTCACAGGCCTTGAGGTGTTCCTGTGTCACCCAGTGCAGGTGTCTGCCTCCAGCCTCTGCACTTGTGAGACCTTCTCTCTGGAAAATTCTTCTCTGATATCCACGTGCTTCCCCATCTTGCCCTGAAAGATGGGCAGGGCTCCCCTCCTGCTGCAGCATCTCTGGGGCTGTCCACCTGTGGACACCCACTCAGTTCCTTTCCATCTTTGTCCTTGAGGGTCGGCTTCCCCAGGGCAGGTTCCTTGCTGGTAGCCCCCCAACTCTGGAGCACCGCAGGGAGCTCAGGGTGTCCGGTAAACACTTGCTGGATAAGGTCCTGAGTGCAGGGAAGACCTGAGTGTTGATTGTGTTAAGAGAAATGCAGCCATTCCCAGAGGCTGCCTGTTGCTGGCCATGTGTTTGCAGAATTCCCAAGATATGCCCCCTCTGAGTCCCACTGCTGCTGTCTCAGGTGCTGTGTGGTTCTTCGACGCCTTCCCCTGCTGATCTGATGCTGGTGGTGACAGCAGGCGTGTACCTGCCGGGCGAACCCTGGGCTGTTTCTTGCAGTGCCAGCCCTTGCACTCCTCGCGGCTGCCCAGCTCACCCCACGAGTCGGGCTGATGTTGCTGGTTTGAAGGGGGGCTTGGGTGGGCTGGGCTTGGCTCTGTGCAGTGCTTGACGTGCTGTGACCCGTTCCAGGCTGTCCAGGCTTTGCTGAGGTTCTGCAGACCTTCAGCACCTGCAAGGGGATGCTGGGCGAGATCCTGTCTGCGTTCGAGTTCATGGATGCTGTGTGCATGCAACTGGTCGTGCGTCATCTCCACCTGGCCAGCCCGGTACAAGGTACTGACCCCCATGCAGGGGCCAGCTGGTCCTGCAGCTCCTTCTGCACCTCTGGACACATGGGACGGCTCAGAGGCCCTGGAGGGGTGGAGGGTCCCAGGGCAGAACGTGGAGTGGCTGTTGGGCTCGTGTAAGAAAGCTGCTCTTAACATATTTAGGACAAAGAATGGGGTGCCCTGGTCCTGTGTAAGGTTTATAGTTACACAGATTTCCTGATCATCTGCAAGAAGGACGGGAAGAAACTAAGTGGCTATTTTTGGTGAGTGGGGAGACTTTCTTTCCATTTCTACTTTTCTTGGTTTTCCCATGTTGCTTTCTGTAAGCACGTTTTACTTCTATGCTGGGAAAAAAGCCAGTAATTTTGTCTGTGGAGGGTTGGAGTTTTTCACTGTGGCCCAGGCTGGAGTGCAATGTCACGATCTTGGCTCACTGCAACCTCCACCTCCCGGGTTCAAACGTTTCTCCTGCCTCAGCCTCCTGAGTAGCTGGGATTACAGGTACCCGCCACCACACTTGGCTAATTTTTGTATTTTTAGTAGAGACGGGGTTTTGCCATGTTGACCAGGCTGGTCTCGAACTCATGATCTCAGGTGATCCACCCACCTCAGCCTCCCAAAGTGCTGGGATTGCAGGTGTGAACCACCGTGCCTGGCCAAAGACAACTTTTTAAACCTCCTGAAAGTCAGCTCAAGCAGACAGCTGTGTGCTCCGCAGGCTGCCTGGGTCCTTCTTGGCCTCGAAAGATCAGTGGTTGCTATCACAGCCATTCCGCCCAAGCAGCCCTGATTCTTGCCCTGGAAGCCGGAGCCTCTGCTCACTCTGCCTTCCTTGCTTACTTCTAGAGAGTCCATTTTACGTCCTCATCGAGACTTCAGGCTCCAACGCAGGCCATGATGCTGAGAAGCTGGGCAGCTTCCTGGAGCACGCACTGGGCTCCGGCCTGGTGACCGACGGGACCATGGCCACCGACCAGACGAAAGTCAAGGTGCCCTATGTTCTGCTCACAGGTCCCCTCTCTGTCCGTCAAGTGCAGCCTTGTCTTGGGATGCCTGGAAGGGTCATTGGTGCAGCCTAAACAGTGCGGGGTATGGCTGAAATGTGACTCGGTTTCATGGCTTTAAGAGAGTAGCCTCTTTGGATGGAAAATGTATTCCTGGTGTTTAGGCCATTTTCATTAATATTTAAAAACTACTTCTTCCCTACCGTGTCCCTTCCCAACCCCATGCTGTGGGATGAGCACGGGGACTGCGCCATTGCCAGTCCCCCGCAGCCTGTGGTTCAGCGGCCAGTCAGCGGCAGCTGTACCTAGAGTTGTGTGGAATGAGTGGAGGCAGGAGGAACCCCTGGGGCTGTGGAGGCTTAGCCCGGATCCCGGGAGTCCTAGGGTGGCCAGTTTTCTGGAGGAAGGGGCCTTGACTGTGTTACCAGATTATTTGTCCTTTTGGACGCCAAAGGAAGGAGGGGCAAGGCCTGGGGCAGTGAGAGCCCTTGGTCACCATCACCGGGGCCTGGGCTGTGGGAGCCGTCGGTCATTGTCACTGGGGCCTGGAGTAGTGGGAGCCCTGGGTCACCGTCACCAGGGCCTGGGCAGGGGAGGAGCCCTCGGTCACCACCACTGGGGCCTGGGCAGTGGGAGCCCTTGGTCACCGTCACTGGGGCTTGGATAATGGTAGCCCTTGGTCACCGTCACCAGGGCCTGGGTGGGAGGAGCCCTCAGTTACCTTCCTTCACTGGGGCTTGATAATGGTAGCCTCTGGTCACCGTCGCCAGGGCCTGGGTGTGGGAGGAGCCTCAGTTACCTTCTCTGGGGTCTGGGCAGGAGGCGCCGGTCACCATCACGGTGGTCTGGGCAGTGGAGGCGCCCGGTCACCGGTCACCAGGGCCTGGGTGGGAGGAGCCCCCAGTTACCTTCACTGGGTCTGGGCAGGAGGCGCCTCGGTCACCATCACCAGGGTCTGGGCGTGGTGGGAGGCGCCCCGGGTCACCGTCACCAGGGGCTCAAGGCAGGCGCCTCGGGTCACCGTCCCCAGGGTCTGGGCAGTGAGGCGCCGGTCACCGCTACCAGGGTCTGGGCGTTTCGGGCAGTGGGCGCCCTCGGTCACCGTCCCCAGGGTCTGGGCAGTGGGCGCAGGCCTTTACTCGCGCTTAGTTGGTTCCAGGCTCGGGGTAGCCTGGGTGTTGCCCTTACCATACCCCCCTCACCTTTGCCGCCTGACTGTCCTGATTCCACTGCTTCTGGGGAAAACCGTGTCTGCTCCCAAGGGCTGGGCTGCGGGTGGCTGGGCTCACTTTTGTGTCCCGGTGCTCGGCCCAGGGGCATCCTCTGGGCGAATGGCGGCTGTGTGATGCCGTCTCTGTCGACTGAGAGGCATGATCAAGTGTGCGCCCTTCCTAGGTCTCTGCTGGCCTTTCCTGCGTTTGTCTAAGTGGACTGTGACAGTCAGCTCCCCTGCGTTGTGCTGCAGTAACAAGCAGTCCCCAGGCCCCAGTGACCACGTGAAGAGAGGCTCACCCTCCCTCGTGTTCTGTGTGGGTGATCGCTGTGGCTGCATCTGCTCCTGTGCCTTCCAATTCAGGGGCCCGGGCTGAAGCAGCTGCCTGGCCAGTCTTGTTTTCCCAGCAGAAAGAGCAGGACAGCCGCCGGAGCTTCTCTCAGCTTCTGCTCGGGATGGGGCAGGAATGTGAGCCCAACCACCCTTGGTGGTGCAGGCGGGGACCCTCGTCCCACACTGGCTGCTTTGCTGGGGTGGCAGTCATGCAGCCCCCCCACCATCCCCAGGAGGGCTATCCACACACCCTGGCTTCCACATATCAGCCCCCACGACCCCCACAAAGGAGGGCTGCCCTCGACACCTCCAACCTCCCTACCAGCTCCCACGCCACCCCCAGGCGGGCTGTCCCCCACGCCCCCAGCCTCTGCACATCATCCCCCACACCACCCCCAGGCGGGCTGTCCCTGACGCCCCCAGCCTCTGCACATCAGTCCCCAGCCCCTCCACAGCCTGGTCCAGTCCTAGACTTGTGCCTTGAACATTAATGCCCAGAGCCGGGCTCATGACCAGGATAGGGCCGGGCAGGGCTGGTCCTGTGTTCACAAAGTCACCTCCAGAAGCTTCCTGGGACAGGTTTGGGAGAGACCTTGCATGTCTGTCAGTACCTCGTTCCGGTTCATGCTCCACGGGTGGGTAATCTGGCCTTTGCGTTTTGCAGATAGCAAAACCACCCGTTCTTAGGTGTGCGGCCTGACAGGCTGACCCGGATACGCGCTTGTGTGCAGTTGACCCAGATACGCGCTTGTGTGCGGTTGACCCGGATACGCGCTTGTGTGCAGCTGCCCTGAGGCTTTTCTCTGCTATTGTCTGGCATTGGCAAGGCTGTGGGCAGGCCCTGAGCCATTCTTCTCTGCTTTCCACTTTGTGGTCTTTCCTTCTGGGAGCCCTGGGTTTTTGGACATGTTGAGAAAATGGGGCTTACGCAGGTCCAGCCGCTGCTGCAGGGGTCCTGTGTTTAACGGGGGACTCTCAGCCCTGCCCAGGCCCTGCTGTAGCCTCAGTCCACCTGAGTGGAAGCCACACTGGTCATGCCAGATGCCCTGGGCTCTTCTGAGTAGTGACCACGGCGGGTCTCATTGGCAATGCCTGTCCACCCGTCACTCAGCAAACCTGTTAGGGAGATGCCTCCTGTGCCGTGTTCCTGCCGGGTGACAGCAGTGACCAGGGCGGGAGAAGCCTTGACCCCTGAAACTCACACAGCAGAAGGAACAAGCTCAGCCCATGACCCCTCAGAGCCAGGAGGCGCCGGGGAGGAGGGCCGGGCCAGGCAGGGTCATGGGGTGTGCCTGGGAGTGCTGGGAGGGCTGGAAAGATGACCCTGAGGGGTCATTTCAGCAAAGACTTGGTGTGGGGAGCAGAAAGTCTGGTGCAGGAGCACCAAGGCCCTGAGGGGGCGTGTGCCTGCCATGTTCTAGAACCTTCCAGAGATGGTGGGCATGGAGCCAAGTGACTGAGGCGTGAGCAGGCAAGGGGAGAGCCCATCTTGTGGCCACAGGGACATACGGGGTGCCTGGTCTGATGAGGAGGTGAGAAGGCCCCGCAGGCAGGAAGGTGCCCACCAAGCCGGCCTTGCAGCCCTGCCCATGCCGCTGTGATGAAGGGTGCGTAGAAGGTGCGGTTGCTCAGGGCGTGGCGTGACCCAAGGGGCTGATCTCACCAAACTAGCTCTAAAAGGTTATGCGAGGGGCCAGCCAGTGGCTCATGCCTGTAATCCCAGAGCTTTGGGAGGCCGAGGCCAGCTCAGTCTGGAGACCCAAACCCCGTGGCATTAGAGGAGTTAAAGACACACACGCAGAAATGTAGAGGTGTGAAGTGGTGAGTCCGGTCTCACAGCCTTCAGAGCTGACAGAGATTTACCTACATATTTATTAACAGCAAACCAGTCCTTAGCATTGTTTCTATAGATATTAAATTCATTAAAAGTATCCCTTAAGGGAAACGAAGGGATGGGTGGAATTAATTGCAGCAGGAACATGCGCTTAAGACACAGATCGCTCAGGCTTTTGTTTGTGGCTTAAGAATGCCTTTAAGTGGTTTTCCGCCCTGGGTGGGCCAGGAGCCAGGTGTTCTTGCCCTCATTCCCGTAAACCCACAACCTTCCAGCTTAGGCCTTATGGCCTTTATGGACGTGTTACATTGCTGCAGAGATTTTGTTTATGGCCAGTTTTGGGGGGGCTTGCTCCCAACAGAGGCAGGAGGATCGCTTGAGCCCAGGAGTTTGAGACCAGCCTGGGCAACATGGTGAGACTTCAAAAAAATAAAAAATTGGTGATGGGGAAATGGGGGAATTTTGGACACTGGCTAGATTCCTAGTGGTGGTGAGGAGTTGTTATTTTTTTAAGTGTGAGTGTGGCATTGTGGTTATGTCAAAAAAACAGAGTCTTTTTTCTTTTTTTGAGACAGAGTCTCACTGTCACCCAGGCTGAAGTGCAGTGACACAGTTGCAGCTCACTGCAGCCTCGACCTCCTGGGCTCAAGCGATCCTCCCGCCTGAGCCTCCTGAGTAGCTGATTCTACAGGTGCCCACCACCAAACCAGCTGATTTTTATTTATTTGTTTTTTATTTTTATTTATTTTTTTAAGACAGAGTCTCGCTCTGCCGCCCAGGCTAGAGTGCAGTGGCACAATCTCGGCTCACTGCAAGCTCCGCCTCCCGGGTTCATGACATTCTCCCGCCAAAGCCTCTGGAGTAGCTGGGACTACCGACACCCGCCACCACGCCTGGCTAATTTTTTGTAATTTTAGTAGAGATGGGGTTTCACCGTGTTAGCCAGGATGGTCTCGATATCCTGACCTCGTCATCTGCCCGCCTCGGCCTCCCAAAGTGCTGGGATTACAGGCGTGAGCCACCAGGCCCGGCCGATTTTTATTGTTTTTAAGAGACAGGGTCTCCCTATGTGGCTCAGGCTGGTCTCAAACTCCTGGTCTCAAGTCATCCTCCTGCCTCGGCCTCCCAAAGCTCTGAGATTACAGGTGTGAGCCACTGCGCCCAGCCAAGTCTTTCTCTTAGAATTTCCTGAAATGATGGGGTCTCTGGAGGGGCAGGTGCTGGGCTTGAGCCCTGGGTGGGACCCTGCAGGGGAGAGGTGGTCCTGCAGCCCAGGGAGGATGGCTCTGTCTTCTTGTGGTGCAGATCTCCACAATGAAAGCTGAAAGCAAGTAAAAGCCCAGCAAACCACAGGCCAGTTGATCTGAGCCCCAGGATTTGGCCCCAGGTTCTGCTTCAGCCGCCAGCACCGTCTGTTCCTCTTCAGAATCCTTCCTCCCTCTTGGCCTGACCGCCGTGTCCCTCCTCCCCCATGACCCGCCCACCATGTCCTTCCCTCCCCCATGACCCACCCACCATGTCCTTCCCTCCCCATGGCCCGCCCGCCGTGTCCCTCCCTCCTGCCCCGACATGCCCCTTGAGCTGCCTGGGCCCTGCTGTCTTCCCGTCTGCCTGGGTGGCTCTTTGTGCCCCCTTCCCTACCCTGCCCTTCTCTAGTTCAGGGAGCGTCCAGGGCCCATCCTCATCCTCAAGGCCTTCCTGGCCCTTGCCACTCTGTGCCATGACATGACCTGAGGCTGCAGGGTGTGCGCCTCCCCTTCCATCATCACTGCCCCCCTCCTATGAGGTGTCCCAGCCGCCTGATTGCCAGAGTCCCAGGGTACTCGGTGCTGTCGTGGAGCCTGGAACATTCACTGTCCCGGATCGATTCCAGGGTCGGAGCCACACCTGGTCTGGGGCATTTGCTGTCTGGGATCAGAGCCACACCTGGTCTGGGGCATTCACTGTCCAGGGTCGATTCCGGGGTCGGAGCCATACCTGGTGAAGATACAGAACTTGCCACTGCCCTAACCCCGTGTGGTGTGCCCCCTGTCCCCGGGTGCTGTTCCCATAGCCAGCCCTTGTCTCATCTTGTCTCATCCTCTAGATGCTGTGGGCCCTGAGGGAAAGGATCGCAGAGGCGCTGAGCCGAGAGGGCTACGTGTACAAGTACGACCTCTCCCTCCCCGTGGAGCGACTCTACGACATCGTGACTGACGTGCGCGCCCGCCTTGGCCCACATGCCAAGCACGTGGTGGGCTACGGCCACCTGGGTGAGCGGCGCCCCAGGGCCACGGTCCTGCGTGTGCTGGGTGGTGGGCGCCATGGTCACCGTCGCCCCACCAGGCTGCGAGGCAGGGCAGATTGACCATGGTCTCTGGCTTAGCATATCTCCGGTAGACACTGGCAGGACCACGGTGTCTAACAGGGAAGGGAAAATCCTAATCATTGTCACACTCATTTTGAGTATTTTGGAAAAGACTGCCATTGTGCACTTTTGATGGCAGAGCACGTGGCTGAGCTTGCCAGAACATTCCGGGATCTTCACTGGGATGCATGGTTGGAGGGCATCAGCCTTAACCTGAGTCCAGGATGCGGGTCTCGGGGCTCCTCTCACAGGGCCCGGCCCCGAGGCCTTTGCTGTGCTTGATTCGCAGCCCCCAGCTGCTGCCACCCCTTCAGATGGGAGGATTTCAAAACCACATTCAGATCATTTTTTTTTTTTTGCAGAAAAATCATGCTTTAACATGCAAGCTGTTAATTCATAGGAAGAAAATGTTTCAATCCTATCAGTTCTTTTTTTTTTGAGATAGAGTTTCGCTCTTGTCACCCTGACTGGAGTGCAGTGGTGCAATCTTGGCTTACTGCAACTTCTACCTCCCGGATTCAAGCAGTTCTCCTGCCCCAGCCTCCCAAGTAGCTGGGACTACAGGCGTCCACCACCAGGCCTGGCTAATTGTTATATTTTTAGTAGAGACAGGGTTTTGCCATATTGGCCAGGCTGGTCTCAAACTCCTGACCTCCGGTGATCCACCCTCCTCAGCCTCCCAAAGTGCTGGGATTACAGGAGTGAGCAAGCATGCCCGGCCGTTTTCCTATCAGTTCTTGGGAGCTTTGGAGCGAGGCGTCTAAAAGGCCAGCTTATAGGGCAGGGGTGGGGTGGGGTGGGGGCAGGGCTGGGGGTGTGGAGCGTGTGGGGGCAGGGTGGGGTGTGGAGTGTGGCTTTAGGGGCTGACAGGTGCTCAGTCTGGCTTCTTCCCTGGCCTGGTGGCACTGGGGCCTCTGACCTGAAGCCTCCATCCACCTGCCAGTAAATGGGATTCAGATGCCACCTCTGGTTACAGGAGGGTCTAGGGTTTTGTGCGCGACGATAATAATATGTATTATGTATGAAGGGCCTGTGCCGTCCCAGGCATCATTCTGAGCACTTGATGTGGAGAAACTTCTCTGCACAGCAGCTTTTAGGACTGGTGGTGTTGCTTCCCTTTTACACACGTGTGAACAGGTTCAGAGAATTTAAGTAACTTGCCCAAAGTTGCCCCGCCTGCGGGACGGGTACTTCTGGAGGATTTGACATAGACTGGATGGTAATCTTCTGTGATAGGAAGGCAGGACTCCTGAATGGTAAGGGGGTAAGGGCTTGATGGGTGTGTCATCCAGAGAAGAGAGGTACGGGAGCCCCAGTAATTCAAAATATGACTTCGAGCCAGGAGGTTTCCTCCTCTGCAGGTAACTTCAGCCTCTCTTGGCTACAGATAAAGCAGACCATCTTGGTCAGAAATTGAATGAGCCCGCTGTTACTTTGTGAAAGCAAGAATGGGCCGGGCGCAATGGCTTACGCCTGTAATCCCAGTACTTTGGGAGGCTGAGCCGGGTGGATCACCTGAGGTCAGGAGTTCGAGACCAGCCTGGCCAACGTGGTGAAACCTAAAATACTAGGTGAAACCTAAAATACCGCCTCTACTAAAACTAAAAAAAATTAACTGAGCATGGTGGCAGGCACCTGTAATCCCAGCTACTTGGGAGGCTGAGGCAAGAGAATCGCTTGAACCCAGGAGGCAGAGGTTGCAGTGAGCCGAGATCGTGCCACTGCCCTCCAGCCTGGGTAACAGAGCGAGACTCCATCTCAAAAAAAAAAAAAAGTCTGGGCACAGTGGCTCACGCCTGATTCTCTTCTGATACTGTTTATCTTTTTGATTACTTCCACCATCTTTTCTTTTATTTATTCAACATATTAAATGTAGTTTAGGCCAGGCGTGGCAGCTTATGCCTGTAATCTCAGCACTTTAGGAGGCTGAGGCTGGTGGATCACCTAAGGTCAGGAGTTTGAGACCAGCCTGGCCAACATGGTGTAACTCCGTCTCTACTAAAAATAGCTGGGCATGGTGGTGGGCACCTGTAATCCCAGCTACTCGGGAGGCTGAGGCAGGAGAATCACTTGAACCCAGGAGGCAGAGGTTGCAGTGAGCAGAGATTGCACCATTGCACTCCAGCCTGGGCAACAAGAGTGAAACTCTGTCTCAAAAAAAAAAAAAAAAAGCAAGAATGAATGTTGAATTTTTAAAATGCTTTTCCTGCATCTACCATGGTGACCAGGTGCTTGTCTACTGATCCCTCTGGAGGCAGATGAGTCTGTGTTTCTGGGGTAGGCCCAGGGTGGCCGTCATCCTTTTTGTATCTTGCTAGATGAGTTTATGTTTGGTGTGGGATTTTGACAGGGGTCTTGGTGGGTGATTCTGTTCCACACTGTTCCTTTCTTCTGTCCATGCTGGATTTTGGTATCAAAATCATAACATGAGTATTATGCAGAACTTGCCAGTGGAGCTGTTTGGGCCTGGAGGTTTTTGCGGGGGGAGTATTTTAAAATTATAGCTCAATTTCTTCAATAGCTATGGGACTTTCTAGTTTTCCTTTCTTCTAGATTGGTTTTTCTGGGGTTTTTTTTTCCATATTAGCATAAAGTTGTTCAAATATTCTTTTGTTTTTGTATCTAGCATTTGTGGGATGCCCCCCACACCCTTTTCTTTTTTTGAGGGGACAGGGTCTCGCTGTCACCCAGGCTGGAGTGCAGTGCCTTACCACAGACTCGACCTTCTGGGATCAAGCAGGCCCGCCACACACACGCCAGCAGCCCTGGCTAACTAAAAAAAAATTTTTTTGTAGGCCCGGTTTGGTGGCTCACACCTGTAATCTCAATACTCTGGTAAACCAAGGTGGGAGGATCACTGGAGTCCAGTAGTTCTAGATCAGCCTGGGCAACACAATGAGATCTGATCTACACTACACACATTTGTAGATCCAGAGTCATGTAGAGCCAGTTGTGTGGCCAGGCTGGTCTTGAACTCCGGGCCTCAAGCAATGCTCCCTCCTTCGCCTCTCCAAGCCAAAGATGACAGGCGTGAGGTACTGTGCCTGGCGTCATTTGCTGCTTGCATTATCATTTCTTCTTTGACCCACGAGTTATGCAGAAGTGTATTTCTTGATTTCCAAACGTGGTAGTTTTCTAGTTATTTTTTAAATTATTGATTTCTTTTTTATTGCTTTATACCCAGGAAACTTGGCCCTTATCAGATCAGATTTTGGAAACTTGATCCGTGGCCAGCTTGTCATCAGCTTTCATAACCGTGGAGTGCTTGAAAACACTGTGCTCTCTGCAGTTGGTGGAATCAGTGTTTGTACAGATCCATCAGATAAAACGTGTACGTTGTGTGCTCATTCTGCATCCTGCTGACCTGCCACTCCCTGAGGGAGGTGTTAGAAATCCGCTGACAACAGACTCATCTGTTCCTCCTGTAGCTTTGCCAGTGCTGGAGACGTGGTCTTAGGGGCACAGGACATGAGGTTCATCTCTTCGTTCTGGGAAACTGAATCTCTTATCGTGATGAACTCACACTTTGTCTCCAGCATTGCCCGTTGCCTTGGTGTCTGCTTTGTTTATTACACAGTGATGCTAACTTTCTTTCATTTAGTGTTTGCCTCACGTGTTGTTTTTCCTCCTGTTACTTTCAGCTTTTCTATCCGTAATGATTTAGACGTGTTTCTTGTGGACGCCCCCGGACAGGTTTTTCGCGTGCTTGTTTGCCGTCTCGAATGAGAGTGTTTGGCTGCTGAGCAGGTCCTGTGGCGCGTTGTTTGGGTTTGTTTACTTCACCCTGCTCTTGGTCTCTCACTTCTTGTCTGTTTTTTTCCTCTGGTTTTTGCTCTTCTTGTGGTTTATGTTCTTTGTCATTTAGCTTTTTGCCATTTACTAACTGTTGGTGGTCGCCCTAGCAGCATAGCGGGCGTTTCTAGCCCTCTGGGTTTGAGGTTAATCAGAGTCACTATCTTCCTCCCAAACAATGTGTGATGGTGAATTCTCTGTGTCCGCTTGGCTGGGCCCTGGTACCCTCGTTTGGTCCAACTCCAGTCTGGATGTTTCTGTGAAGGCATTTTTTACGTGTGATTAACATTTAAATCAGTAGATGTTGGGTGCCGGAGTGAGTGGGCCTTACCCAGTCAGTCAAAGGCCACAAGCGCAAAGGAAGAGGGGATTCTGACCCAGATGGAGACTCGAGCTGCAGCACCAGCTCCTGCTGGGATCTCCAGCCTGCTGACCTGGACTTCAGATTTTAGACATAGCTCCCTCAGTCCCATGAATCAGTTCATTAAAATCAGTGTCTGTCATCTACCTGTGTCTCAGTGCGTCGCTCCGTCTTTCTCTGTATCTTCCTTTAAATATGTGTAATCTCACTCTCTTGCTCGCTCTCTCTGTACACACACATCCTGCTGGTTCTGCCTCTCTAGGAGCCCTGATGGCTGCACAGTGTGAGGACTTCAGGCCCCCGTCACTTTGGCTGTCGTTTTCCCCCCAGTTTATGGTCAGCCCCTGTATTTGCGGGCTTCACGTCAGATTCAACCATAAAAATAACAATACAACAATAAAAAAAATGCAACAATAAAAAATAAAGATGATGCAGCGTAACAGTGACAGACACAGCATTTCCATCGTACCAGGCAACGTGAGTAATCTAGAGGTGATTTAAAGTATACAGGAGGGGCCAGGCACGGTGGCTTACGTTTGTAATCCCAGCAGTATGGGAGGCCAAAGTGGGTGGATCACCGGAGGTCAGGAGTTCGAGACCAGCCTGGCCAACATGGTGAAACCACATCTCTACTAAAAATACAAAAATTAGCCAGGTTTGGTGGCACGTGCCTGTAATCCCAGCTGCTTGGGAGGCTGAGGCAGGAGAATCGCTTGAACCTGAGAGGCAGAGGTTGCAGTGAGCCAAGGTTGTGCCACTGCACTCCAGCCTGGGCAAAAGAGCAAAACTCCGTCTCAAGCAAAAAAAAGGATACAGGAGGATGTGTGTAGTTCATATGCAAATCCCACGCCATTTCCTGTCAGAGACTTGAGCATCTGAGGATTTTGATATCCGAGGGGTCCTATATCCAGGCCCCCAGGGACACTGAGGGGCACCTGCATGCTGTTTGGGGGTGTATTCTGGTTCTGCCTTGTTCAGCCACACATAACCCTGTCACCATGTTACTGTCCTGATTCTGCGTAGCCAGTCTGCACACAGCCTCTGCTTGAATCTCAGCCTCCAGAATTTTCCCTGGCATGGAAAAATAGGTGACGGAACAGCACAGGTTTTATTTGTCTGGAAATGATTTAGTTGATAAAAATGTCTTTTCCTCAGTGGATTTCAGTGGTTCTGGGTTGACAGTCGCTTCCCAGTGGCAGAGGGGAGCTTCTGTCCCCTCTTCGATGTCTGCTGTTGCCGAGACAGCCTCAGTGCAGGGCAGTTCCCTTCGGGGGAATGGAGGGGATCCGCTTTTTCTTTCTTTCTTTCTTTTTTTTTTGAGATGGAGTCCCGCTGTCACCCAGGCTGGAGTGCAGTGGTGCGACTTCGGCTCACTGCAGCCTCTGCCTCCCGGGTTCAGGCGATTCTCCTGCCTCAGCCTCCTGAGCAGCTGAGACTACAGGTGTGCACCACCACGCCCGGCTAATTTTTGTATTTTTAGTAGAGATGGGGTTTCGCCATATTGGCCAGGCTGGTCTCCAACTCCTGACCTCGTGATCCACCCGCCTCGGTCTCCCACAGTGCTGGGATTGCAGGCGTGAGCTGCCGCACCCGGCCGGCTTTTTCCTTCTTGCTGCTTTCAGCTCCTTCCGTCCGCCGTCTTTGGGGTTCTGCAGTTTCACTCTGGTGGGGCCGGGCGAGTGTTTTTTACCTGCCTGGCACTTGTGGGGCTTTGGGGTCTTCTTGGCTTTAGAAATTCCTCAGCCACCGGAGTCTCTTCAAACACCGTTTCTCCCTCCCTCTCTCCTCTTCCTGGAACTCAGTCCAAGCCCCCTTGTTTCTTGTCCACCGATACCAGGATCCCGTCTCTCGCATTTGGATGCTATTTGCAGTGTCTCCGGCTTGGCGTCCTCTGCTGTGTGTGATCGGCCGTCAGACCTGTCTGTTCAGGTCCACAGGCCAGCCATGATGCGTTTCACCTCCAGAAGATTGGCGTGGATATTTAAAAACTGCTTGGTCAGATTTTGTGGTTTTATATTTTTGTCTCTTATTTCTTTACATATGACACCGTTGTGTTCTGTGTCTGGAAATGATGGCGTCTGAGGTGTTCGTGGGTCTGATTCTGACCTTGCCCATGGTGGTTTGTCTTCTTGTGTGCATGTTGTTGGCATGAGCTCATGTTCGTTAGGTCTTTATCCGCAGGAATTATTTGAGGCCTGCAGGGGAGGTGGTTTGCTTCTGCAGTGGGTGGAGAGGGTGAGGGACTGGGGCCCCGCCCGGAACCTCTTTAATCGGCACGTTCTCAGCTGGGTTTGGGACCCGAGGCAGCGTGCGTTTCGGCTGCAGACCCGGGTACAGGCCATTGGTCGGGAATACAGTTGGGTGTTACTTAATGACGGGCATGCATCCTGAGAAATGTGTCATTAGGTGGTTTCGTTTTGCGCTAGCATCACGGAGGGCACTCACACCCAGATGGGACAGCCTCTTCCACACCAAGGCTGTGTGGTGTTGCCATTACCCCAGGTGACAGACCACAGCCATCATCCACGTAATGCCGGAAGCAGTTGTGAAACGGTGCTATGTGCCTGAACACAAAAGCTAATCCTAGAAAAGGGACCATAAAAATACGGTATAAAAGGTAAGAATGCCACACCTGTGTAGGGTGCCCATCACGAGTGGGTCTCGCGGGACTGGAGGTTGCTCTGGCGAAGCCGTGGTTGAGGGGTGAGGGATTGCAAAGGCCTAGGAAATGACCGGACCCTACTCTAGACTTTATAAACACTGCACACTGAGGCTACCCTAAACTGATATTAACAAGTAATTGGCCAGGCGCGGTGGCTCATGCATGTAATCCCGGCACTTTGGGAGACTGAGGCAGGCGGATCACCTGAGGTCAGGAGTTTGAGACCAGCCTCAACATGGAGAAACCCCATCTCTACTAAAAATGCAAAATGAGCCGGGCATGGTGGCCGGTGCCTGTAATCCCAGCTGCTCCCAGGAGGCTGAGGCAGGAGAATTGCTTGGACCTGGGAGACAGAGGTTGCGGTGAACCGAGATTGCACCATTGCACTCCAGGCTGGGCAACAAAGCGAAACTCTGTCTAAAAAAAAAAAAAAAAAAAACAAGTAATTGTGCTACAACATGGTGACATCATAATTAAGGTGATGGCAATTTTTCAGCTCCATTTTAATGTTATGGGACCAACATCATCTCTGTGGTCCGGTGTTGGGTGAAACGTTGTTATGAAGCGTGACTGTATTCACATACTCTGGACTCCAGGCACGTGGCTCACACTAATCTCAGCGCTTTGGGAAGCCGAGGTGGGAGGACTGCTTGAGGTCAGGAGTTCAGGACCAGCCTGGGCAACATGGTGAGACACCCCACCGTCTCTGTAAAAAAAATAATTAGCCAGACGTGGTGGTACATGCCTGCAGTCCCAGCTACTCAGGAGGCAGAGGTAGGAGGACTGCTTGAGCACAGGAGGTTGAAGCAGTGAGCTAGGATCGCTCTACTGCACTCCGGCCTGGGTGACAGAGGGAGACCCTGTCTCAAAAAAACAAAGCGAAACGAACCTTTTCTGTGGATGTGGTTTTTCTCTTTCACAACCAGTCCTCCCTGGGCAAGTCCCTCCCTCTCTGGCCTGAGCAGGCGTCTGTGGGGACTGGGAGGGGTGGGGACTGTGGGTGGGGTCCCTGCTGTACTCCCTGCCTCAGGTTTGTTCTCGCAGGGGTGGAGAAATCTTTTTCTATCTACCCTTTCTAGTTCCCAGCTGGGATGGACCCTGCAGCTACAGGCAGATTCATAGGACAAATATGGAGGCTCATCCACATGCGTTTCATGTCTGCTTGGGAGTGACCAGGGAATGAGGGATTCTCAAAGAGCTGGCTGTGAATTCAGGCCCATGTGGTGTCCTCAACAAACAGTCAAGTTTTAGGGACGTCACATGACAGGACATGGACTGCGAGTCTCCGGGAGGCATCTTGGAGGAGGCAGGGAGGTGGCAGAGGACGGCTGGGCCTGAAGCTGCCTTTACGTTTGTCGGTTCTGGTGGAGGGAGGGTCTTTGCCCTTGTCATCCCTGTGCTGCTCTTAGGCAGGACCTGAGTCGGGGGAGCTTTTCTTGGGTCTGCCGCTTCTCGGTTGCCTTTGTGGGAAAACAGCCCCCACCCCAGCATGGCACAGTTGGGGGTGGTGTGTCCCGGTTTACCTCTGGGGCTCCTCCTCAGTGTGCAGCTCTGCGTTAAAAGCCACTGGTCTCGTCTGGGCAGCCCTCGAGCTGGTTTCTGGCTCCCTCTCCTGCTGGCCCGGAGGTGGGGCGGGATCCTCACTTGGCTCTGACCTTGGCTCTCCCCAGCCTCTTCTCTGAGCCATCCCCTTGTTGACCTCTGAGGTCAGAAGAGGAGGTTGTGCGTGGGGTGGGCCAGGACCAGGGTGTGCTTGGAGAGCCACCACCCTGGGGGCTCAGTGTGGGGTGAGGGGACCAGAGAGGAGGCGGCTGGGAGCCAGGGCTTTGTCTGCAGCGGGCACTGGCTGGGCAGCTCCAGGGGAGATGTCCGTGGGGTGGGGGCATCCAGATAGCCCTGGGCGCCACTGCGGACCCCTCCGTCTGACCAGGTGCTGGGTGTACAGACTGGGAGACTGGGCTCTTCCAGGTCAGGAGGGAGGCAGTGGCAGGCAGGCCATGCGGTTGCTCATGTGCTCACTCTCCGCCTGGGGAGATGGGAGCCCTGGGCAGAGGGAGTAGGAAGAGGCGGGAGAAGGTGGGGAGATGGGAGCCCTGGGCCGAGGGAGTAGGAAGAGGGGGGAGAACTTGGGGAGATGGGAGCCCTGGGCAGAGGGAGTAGGAAGAGGGGGGAGAAGGTGGGGAGATGGGAGCCCTGGGCAGAGAGGGGGTAGGAAGAGGGGGAGAAGGTGGGAGATGGGAGCCCTGGGCAGAGGGAGTAGGAAGAGGGGAGAACTTGGGGAGATGGGGCCTGGACAGAGGAGGTAGGAAGAGAGGAGAACTTGGGAGATGGGAGCCTGGGCAGAGGGAGTAGGAAGAGAGGGGAGAACTTGGGGAGATGGGAGCCCTGGGCAGAGGGGAGTAGGAAGGGGGGAGGGGTGGGGAGATGGAGCCTGGGCAGAGGGGAAGTAGGAAGAGAAGGAGAAGGTGGGAGATGGAGCCTGGGCAGAGGGGAGTAGGAAGAGAGGGGAGAAGGTGGGGGAGATGGGAGCCCTGGGCAGAGGGAGTAGGAAGAGGGGGGAGAAGGTGGGGAGATGGGAGCCCTGGGCAGAGGGAGTAGGAAGAGGGGGGAGAAGGTGGGGAGATGGGAGCCCTGGGCAGAGGGAGTAGGAAGAGGGGAAGGTGGGAGATGGGAGCCCTGGGCAGAGGGAGTAGGAAGAGAGGGAGAAGGTGGGGAGATGGGAGCCTGGGCAGAGGGGAGTGGGAAGAGGGGGTGGGAGATGGA